TTGATGGTGTGGGCGTGATATGTGTGGTGTTTTTTTTTTTTTGAAGGCCCCTCCCATAGAAAATTTTTATGTTGGGGGGAGTCGGGGTCCGGCGGAGTAGAGTCCTTGACTGTACAATGAGAGCGGGGAGGGTCGCCGTGAGTGAGATGGGCACCAGGTGAGAAGAGTAAGTAGGGTGTCGTGATTGAGTTGGGGGACGCGTAGAGCCGTGAGCCGGTCCGGATCGGACGGCGGCGGGCGGCAGACGCGTGCTGAGCTGGCGCGGGCTGTGTGCGCGCCGGCTGCGAACTGCGGCTGTCGGAATGACGGCCGGGCTGAGCAGGTGCTCACCCTCTCACCCATTCACCCTCTCACCCATTCACCCTCTCACCCATTCACCCTCTCACCCATTCACTCACCCACACACTCCCATTAACCTCACACACTCACACACGTGGTGCTTTTGTGCCTGTTCGTAAACCCCGAGCACAAGTGATGTCCAGACGATGGCAGGATTTTCGCAACTAGTGAGCTAAATCGAATTCATCTGCTTTCTGGAGGAGGATACTAGCGGCCAGCTTCCCTGATCATTAGTTTTCTGATCATCACCAGGCGAACGCCGGAGCAGTACTCTAACAAACGCGCCAGGGACTGTGCGCGATCTTTCCTTCCTTTTCCTTGTCTCATCCGACCTTATTTCCACTTAGTCTTTCACTTACATGCACAACACGATCACACATGTCTGGAGATCAGTAGGAAGTTTAGAGTTTGTCTCGGCGGGATCAGTGCCCTTGGGAGTTAGGGAAAAAACCGCAAGCCTACGTATATGGTGACGCAGGATCTCACTATCCTTCGACAAAAGATCACAGCCACCTCTAGCGATAAAAACATGCACTACATACGCGGGAATATTGAATTCATCAGTTGAACTGTCCGAAAAAATTAATAAATACCAAGTAGTGCAACTCCTTTTTTCATATTGTTTCAATTAGATTTTCGTGTTTACCAAGTGACATTCTATTACCACACCAGTGTAGTTGTACGTTACTCAGCAACAGTGTGGGTTGGATCACCAGCGAATCCACACAAGCACAGCGGTGTAATTGGGACTTGCACCATTTTACCTGCACTAGTTGGTTGACACAATTCACTGTGAATATTATACCGATACCAAAAGAGTGAACTTTTCACAATTCTTTTGAAAGAAACTCTTTCTGAGTACATGCCATTTCGCAAGTTTTTCTTCAAGCCGAGATCTTAAAAAGTTTATCGCGCTAACATACCTCAGAGAAAGTTGTACAGAAGACCATTACAAAAGAGATAAAAAAAAGTTATGGAAGACCTTTAGCCTTCTCACCTGTGCATCATCAATACTTTATCTTACTTTTGATAATGTTGAAGACATCGTGCCACTAAATCTAAATGAAAATACTGACGTGGATTATGGCTGATATGTAACCAAAACTATGTAACTTGGGAAATAGACCAGGATTTTATTTCCAATTTATTTTGTATTGGATGTGTTCTTCTATTGTTCCCCAAATGTGTCGTTTAAACATAAATGCAATTTCTTGTATTCTCCACTTTCGGTCATATTTTCCAATTTAGACGTTTTGTAAAAATCGTAATAGTAAATCCTAAGAAAATATCAAAATGTTCTTTACTACATTGCATATTTTCTTGTCAAATATATCGTTTGCCTTTCCATATCAAAAGTGGAATAAATCCATTTTCACCCTTACGCCAAATCTGTAACTGGACAAAATGATCAGAATCGGGAATGTCACTGAATGGAAATGATACAGATGTTGATAAGTAACAAAAATTATGTAAACACTGTGTTAATTGCATTCCGTATTTTCTTGTCATATTTTTAGTTCACCTTTTCCTATCACAAGTAGCTGTTTTTGCCTTGACACCTAGTCCAGAACTAGACAAAATTATCAGTAAGACAATATTTATCACACCGATGTTGAAGCCATCGAACTACTAAATTGAAATGACGATGTCTATGACGATAACAAATATTATATAAATGATGTGTTGTTAACTGCATTTCTTATTTTCTTATATCTTTATCTTTTCGAATCCCAAGGGATATATCTCCATTTATCAAGTCTATAACTCAACAAAATTATTCATTATTGTCAATATGAGTCAATACAAACTTTTCTAAACACAGGTATGTAAAAGATACAAAATATGTTGTGCTGAATTTTCTATATCAACACTAGTAAAATATTAAATATCTCGGAACGAAAAAATGTATGTGGCACCACTTGGAATTTGACGGGCTAATATATTTAATAAGTACTAGGAATATGTTGAGGACAAAGTTAGTCTGTATTGGACACTACGCTCGCACACAGAACACATCCTTCCCACAGATTCATTGAGCGATAGCATTATTTAGTGGCAAAAGTTGTTAGTCTATTGACCGTCACGAACAGGTACGCCAACAAACGCCATTACGCCCTCACACCATCACGCTCTCACTCACGAATCACACTCTTCGCACATATTGAATGGGACCTCGGGGCACATAGAATTAGAAGTTTCTCGTCTCATCTCTCCACATTCAATGACGCACAGTAATACAGTTGTTCACGACTGGCGGGTAAGATCAAAAAACATTGAAAGTGCAATTGGTAATGCGAAACATTTGCACACGTTTAAATTTACTCGATAATATTTTAGATCACATTTTAATAAACTGCTCTTTAGATTAAATATTTTTATTTGCTAGATTAGTCACATTTGCAATTACACATTACAATTTGGAACAATACTCTTTTAGCCACTGAATTACTGCAGATTGGATTACGAAGCCTTTCTTTCTGACTTAGTACAGGCGTAGAGCAACTAAGTTCGGAATTACAGAGCAATATCCCTCCCATCTTTTCCTTACTCTTCTCGCCTCGAAGTGTTTCTTTCTATCAGAGAAAGAGAATATCATTTGGGGCATTTTTAATTTAGCTCAGAGACTACTTTCAGGATTCAGGATCTTATACATTCAGTAAATCTACATCATGGGACAGACGGCTTTACTTTTCCTTTGAATATAGGCATGCCTACGACCTTTCCGTCCCTAAACACCTATGGTTTCGCTCGGGCTAGAACCCTTGAAGTCCGATAAGCTAACCGTTTAACCTCGGAAGCCACGAGAGCGCGTGCGTCCGCCTTGCAGGGAGCGGGCGTCTGTTCGGGTCGCGCCGGAAGGAGTCGTCGGCGGCGGCGGCGGGGGCGGC